TAAATGTTCTCTAATTTGTTCTTATCTTATAATGAATATTTTTAACATGAAGCAGCTCTAAAAAGAAGGGTGATTCTCTAATATTATTTTATACAGAAATTTAATCAATGATATATGATAATGATTGTATTCTAAAAAATATTTTAAAATTTATCGGAAATTTGCAATTTTTATTTTACTTACTATTGCAAATAATAAAAATGCAATATAATTTTTAATTTCCGCAATCTTTAATGAGTTATTGCTACAACTTGAAAAGCGAATTACCTTCATGATGACACTGAGATTTATATTATCAAATCTAATAATATTTTGTATTTTAATTTAAATAATACTTGAGTCAAACATAAACATAACTATTTTGTTAATTTTGAAAACATGATATTTATTTTTCATTCTGTTAGAACCTTCTTAGTTTACAATTAAATATTTCTTTGAGATTCTTAACCAGTTTATAGAACCGTTATTAATAAATTGAGATAACTTATTGCAAGTAAAATACATTTTTAAAGCTGCAGAGTTTTTCATATATTGCATACGTTAGTTTGAAAGTTTAAAACTCTGTTTCCATTGTTGTAAATTTCTTTATGAGATTCTTCATTACATTTTCGTTTTCTGCTTTTATATAGTTATACATAAATTATTCAAATTCTATTGATAACTTTCTATGCTTGCTCACTTTAAGTTCTACTTGAAGTGAAATTTTGTATCTTTAAGGCATGTTGAAATATTATCTAAGTGTAAAAATGTGTTTATATTTAATATTTTTAATTCAAAACTAAATTTGGTCATCAGGTTAAAATTATATTTTCTTATTATTTATTCAATTTCTTAATTATTATTTCAGATATATACAATTTAAAATACATTTTTATCATCAGATGCAAATTAAATTTCTTAATTTCTCCCATCATTATTTTGCCCATCATTATTTGACTTTATATATATTTTCATTAAGGAAACAATGTAATTATTTTCAGTGAATCGATTATTACAGTAAATTAAATTTTTCGTAATATAAAAAAAATATGATGTGTACACCGCATGACTTCCTTGTACGTAATATTATATTATACGCATTTTTCCCTGCACTACATTTAAACTTATTTCATTATAGTTCTCATTCAATAATTCAGTTCTCACTTCGGGGCAAGGCAAAAATACATAAAACCTTATATCTTCTTTAAAAATTGAAAGAAATAGAAAAGCATAAAATACCAAGTACAGTTAAAGCAATTAAAAAAAACAATATATACAATTAAAATTACAGTTTCTACGCAAAAACAAGCAATTCGGTCAGCAGGCGAGAAGGCAGATTTTTCGGTGCAGAGAACTAAATGTTTCCTTTTGGTCTCACTCGGGAAATAGACACTGATTCTGCTAAATTTACGTTTTAAACTTAGTAGAATACAGCGAAATTAAGTTATTAAGTGATAAAGACTTCATTCACTATTCTGCTAAGTTTCAAATGTAAACAAATATGGCTACTATGATAAACAAAAATTAGGCTTAGCCGCACTTAACAACTTTTAACTCTTGATAATTCTACAACTGTCGCGTGCAAATTAACTAAATGTGTAGAAATTTTAATCGGAAGATAAGAACAACATAATACAGTCATTTTTAAATCAAAAGAAAAAAAAAATGCACACTTTACCAACATATCAGAATTAAAAAACTTAACTTTACATATTTATATACTTTTTGTGCTCCGATTGCAACCAAAAAGGGAGGTGCACTTCTACATGCTATAGCAGTCCTATATACAAAATTTCAACGTTCTGAGGCTACTCGCTTTTGAGTTACGCGAGATACATACGCACGCACGTACAAATGCCACGAAAAAATCTCTTCTAAATCCATTTTAAATCAATTTTATAATTCGCTTGGGGAAAAAAAGAGTCCTTTGTTCTGTCCTTACGTACATATGTCACGCAAGGATATCACTAAATTTCATTTGATAGCGATCAAAATGGGTATTTTCGTTAAAATATGGTACCCAGAATTTTTTGTGATTTCTTTACTTCGTACAAGGAAGTAATTAAAGTTTTTTAAGTGACGGTGATCCTCGTATATGAAAATTATAAATAAAAGTGATCCCCGAATGCAGTCAAAAATCTCTATTAAGTCTACATATTAGATATAGTCTTAAAATTCAATGTTTATACATAAATATAAATTTAATGTTTGTTCCTAATGATTATCAAAATGTATAGAAAATTTATTGTAAAATTTATAGATGAGGAACACTGTAAACAGATTTATAAAATTTACATGCTATTAATTTCACAGGTACATTTCAAAATGGTTTATACAATTTACATGTTATTAATTTCACAGGTACATTTCAAAATATGTTTTTTGTTTTATACCGATAATACATTTATAATCAAAAACTGTAAATTGCAACTTGTATGAAAATAAAAAGTGTGTGCATATGTGAAAAAAAGAGTTAGCATATTCCATTATTTTTTTATTATTTTACAGACTTAACAATATGGAATCATTTTTTGTTACTTTAAATGTCTAGAAAAATGTGTCAATTATGCATAACCGTATATAAATTAAATTTCTCTTTTACGTATTAAAGTAACAGCAGTTTAAATAATTCTAAAAGTATGTACTATATAACTTGCTTGCAATAATGGTAACTTGCAATTAAATAAGCATTGTTCAGTACTAGCTATAAAATAATAAAAAGTAATTTCTTTTCAAAATATATTAGGCTTAATTTGTCTAATAATTGTAAGATAATAAATTAATTGTAAAGATAATAAAAAAGGTCTTATTTAGTGGATTTTATGAAGACAAGACTTTACTTGATTTGATTAACCAGACTTTACTTGATTTGTCTTGATTCAATATATTAATATGCAGAAATCTTTGCATTTCATTTTCCATATCATGTAAGAAAAATCCTTGTTAAACTGATAAAAATGCATTGTAAAAACAAACACTGAAACACACTATATTCTTTCAGATATAGTTTCTTTAAACTATTTTAGTAACATAGAAATTAATTTTTTATTATAATGAAACATCGTAAAAATAATACCTTTTTCAAAATGATTATTAACTCAAGGCGATTTATCAGTTTAAAAAAATAGCTACAAAATTACAGAAACAGTGAAAATTTTCTCCAAGTTTTATTTTCAGGAATATGAAAATCTAATGATTTAATGTAATATTTAATGAAGAAAATTAATTTTCATGAGTATTATCAGCTCCATTTTTAGACAGAGAGCTAAATAATTTCAAAAAGCTCTGAACACTTAATATTAATTGACATAAACTTATTCGACACTTAATGCTAGGGTTAAGTAAATATCTACACATTTTCTACAATACTTTTTCTATAATCAATTCATGAATTCAATATTTTTTAGCTCGTAATGTGTATCTCTGCTTTCAAATAAGTAATGAAAGTAGTCTAACATTTTTGTGGATAAAATCATGTTCTGTTTAAGTATATTATCAGAAGCGTTATTTTACTGTCAATCTATTACACAAGATTTACTTTCGGTAAAAGATTTTATTTGCTGAAACATACGTTAGAAGTTTCAAAACACTTCTAGATATATCTTTAAGAAAGGTTATGTTCAGGTATATCTCATTTCTGATAAAAAATGTAATCTGACTGGAGTACAAAACTTAATTGAAATCAGCATTAAGTAACGTAATATACAAGTCGAAAATATCGGAGTAATAATTCTTATGACGTTAAGCATCGCTCACTTTGCGACTATTATGAAAATAATTGGTTACAGAGCTTGATTCGATTAGATATATTCAAGGACTTAAAACGAGTCGGAGTATACGCACATTGGAGAGTTCGTAAATTTATATGAAGTTGCTTGGCATATTTAGGTCTCGAATAATTGGTAATATATCATTCTTATGCCACTGCACGTAATTATCAAGCAATAAAAATAGAAATGTACGCGAACTGTAAAAGAAGGACCTTAAGAAGAAAAAAAATTGTCATGCCACAAGGCAAAAGTAGACAGAAAATGCAGAAAGCATTTGAGATAAAACTGACTTTATGATGTAATTTTTTTTGGCAAATTTTCTCCTTATCTTCAAACAGGAAACCAAAAATTATGATTGGATGACCAAAGCGATGACTGCAAAGAAAATAGAAACTTCCGAAAGCAGAAAGAAATATTTTTAATTTTTTTTTCTTCTTTTCCCCTTTGGTCGAAAAGTCTTCGCCAGATGTTGAAGCTGATAATTTCAAAATAATCTTGTTAGCAGCGCCGTGGCTTGCTTACAAAATTAGTTTCCGTTTCTGAATATCATTGAGGTTAACTGAATATGAAAGGCATATTATCTAGCACTTTAAGCCGCAAAGACAGTAGTCAATATCTGAAGTTTTATTGTTTAAACGCTACTGAAACCTATGTACGACATAAACTCGATGAATGCTAATATCTATCATTATTCATTAACTTTATGTTGATTCCACTATTTTCTGACAGTTAAAGTTATAAATTACGTAAATGTGGGAACAGTTTAACATTATTATTCTAATGTTCATGGAATTACTCATACGATTATTTATTATACATTTTTATGAATCTTTAAAAACAACCTTTTAGTATTGACTATTGTCTTATTACGAGTAAACAATGACAATGTCAATATTTTAATTTATTAATACAAAATTTCTTCATTATGTTTAGCATCAAAGTAAAAATATTACTGAATTTATTCATTTTATAAACAGAGCAAAAACAAGAGATACATTTTACGCTTTTATGTAGCATAAATAAATAATCTATTCAGGTTTAGTTGAATAAACATTTTTGTTCTTTTTTCTTTTAACTATTTCTGGAAAAAACTAATAAATTTAACCTCATGCATGTGAAATTTATGATCTTCTTGTAAATGTACATAAGCTTCGAATTTCGAAAAAGCTTACAAATATCATTAATTAATAACAATTCTCTCAAAAAATATAAACAAATTCCAATTCTGCTCTTATTTGATGTTTTTTGCAGGTCCAAAAGTCTCCAACATGTGAAGGAAAAGTTGAACCCCTTGGTGAGTATTTGTTTGTTTGTTTATCTAAACAAGCAAAATTTGCTGGAAATTTTCCTAATTTGAATGAATATAAACTTGATTTATTAACTTAAGCGAAATGCTGCTTGTACTATTTGCTTGACACATTCACAGTACGCTCGTTGTTAAATAATTCAATAACGGGGATGTGGTAGAAAGTTCGAAAACCCCCTCTGAGCTCAATTTTCATTTTCTTCCATAATGATTTATTGATTTTTATATTAATGAAAACAATTTATCATTTTAGCTAAAATAATATTACATTTCAGTCCTTCCTTCCAGTCGGTAACGAAGGCTTAATTTCACATGCTTTAAGGATATTTATTTAAAAGTAAATCAACATAATAATAATACATTTTAAGCATGTTTTACAGATATATTTAAAAGTCGAGTGAGTATTTAAACTCTATTTTATGCCAGAGTCTGTTCTATGAAATTAAATACTTGTGTTAAGGAATAATGTATTATGTTAGATATCAGTTTCTAAATTAACCCGTAGCTCTGCACAAAGCAGATATAAAATATTTATCATAAATTCTCCAGTTAATTTAAATTCTATCAGTGTAAAACAATTAATTTCACTTATATTGAAAATATTAAAGCAAAGCTGAATAAATAATCTTGTTTTTGTATCAGTGACTAGCCCACCAGCAAACGAGCAGTAAAGTCGATGAACACTGGTAGTCCGGCCCGAGGTTCGAATGCCGTAAAAAGGCTGGCTGTATGGGCGTTTTCGTGGTTTTCCCTTATGTAACGTGTATACGAGTCAATTTGCCTTAAAAAAATCCACCACGAAGGCACACCTCCCCTGCCGCAGATAGCCATCGAGGCTTAGTCATAAATAAGCCGAACTTATCAGTGACTATTATTAAATTCGTCAAGGGTTTATACTCCTCAATTACGAGTCGTAGTATTTAATTACTGCTAGGTATTTATGTTATTTTTATTACTATTATGCACATCTGCCTATCTACAAAAGTATGTCTTATGAGGATTTTATATTCCATACTTTGTGAGGTGGCAATAAATCAATATTTCAATCATATATAAAAAGTATAGGAACATATTAAAAGTTATAATTTCATGTCTTCTTGATTCAGGAATATATAATTTATTTAAATGAAAAGTAGAAAACGCATTATTTGTAATTTCAGACATTTCAGACATACATATTTTGCTTGATGTTGTTACTTGAGTCAGGTCTAGATAACATTGCTTGGTTACGTCTACTTTTTTTTCCTATCTACAACGTTTCCTATTGTTTAGCTTTTTATATAACGCTTATATCTAATCAAATAGTGGTGTGCAATTCCATAAGCAGTGTTTTTGTTTACTCATGCAAAAATTAGAGAATTTGAAGTTTTTAAAAATCTTAGAATTTTCTATTAAATTAAACCCTAGAACGTAGGAATTAAACCAATGAATCTATCCCTACGTAGATCTAAAGTAGTGCATGTAAACATTTAAAACTTCAAACTGGAAGAGAAACCAATTCGGGGCTGTAGGGCTGGACTGATAAAGATACAGATTATTATTATTTTTTTTTGATTATTTGAAGTTTTAAGTTTTAATTTTTGTCTTTATTGATTCAGAAGCAAGCATAAGTATTTACTTTGCACTAACTCTCTGATGACGATTCTGTGAAAGATGTAAAATTCTTATTTCATTTTTCACTTTGGCATATTTTGCCGCCTTTTATTTGCAGTTTCCCATTCTTTTTTTAGTTTTCATTTTTTTAAAAATTTTCTATATGGTTTATTCCGAATTGAATATGAAATGAATTTTAATTTATATACATTTATGCAAGAGAAAGATAAAATATATAGAACTAAAACCAAACAAAAGTGGAAATTTTTTTAAAAAGATAGCACAATTTTAAAATAATTCAATCTCAGACTTGGAAAACAAAACTGAAATAAATGTTAATGCAAAATAAAACAAAATTAACATAATATTAAGTAATAGTTAATAATTCTTTTGTATTTACCAAACAGTAAACTAAAGATTTATCAAATGAGCCACGTTTCTGAATTCTATTTGAATAAACTGCAAAATAAATCAAAGAATTACTTAAATTTAAAATAAATAAATAATACTATCTTAGTACAAAATTTTAAATCTTTAAATTTATTAAAGAAACTAATTTTTTTAAGTTATATAATTCTAAAAACCTGCTATTATCTGAAATCAGTGATCTAGATGTAACCTGACCAGAAATGTGGTGAGTAATATATAAAATGGAGTAAAAGCAGAATTTTTTCTTTCTTAATAAGAGGAAAAATTCATTAATTTTACAAATTATTAACTTGAAAATCCGTATTAGTGCAATGTTACTAAGGTTGGTGTTGGTGTATTTAATTATGGCAAAGCACACTAGGGCTATCTGCCTAAGGGGAGGGATGCCTTCGCGGAGGACTTTCTAAGGGAAACTGGCTCGTATACACGTTACACATGGGGAAAACCACGAAAACACCCATGCAGCCAGCCCGTTCGCGGGATTCGAACCTCGGACCGAACTACCAGTGTTCAGCGACTTTACCGCTCGGCCGCTGGTGGGCCTGTAAGTTTCTAAGAAAAAGATAAATGGAGAAACTAGAATTGCAGAAAGGCAACATTTCCCAAGTTTTGTAAAGACAGATTGTTATAAAATTCCAAAATTTGCGCAGAAAAGAAAAAATAAAGATGGAATTGAGTTGATTTCTTTCATTAAAGTCAAAATGATGAATATTATTTTATACTTGAGAAAACGTATTGAAACGTAACATCATTATTATTAAAAATACTGATTATTTTAGGATATTGCTTGGTTAGAGGTATTAAAAATACTGAAGAAATCCAAATGCTTTAAAATTCGAAGGTAAATTATGTGTTTTTGTTTTGATATTTGTAAGTTTAACTAATTTAACTAATAGAAAATTAGCTGTTTTAATAGTGTAAAATATTATTTCATAATTGAGCTTTATGACAAAATAAGAAAAAGTAAGTAGATAAATAAATAAAACTTTCAGAGTAAAATTTTCGAAAACTTATAATTAAAAACTTACCCTAAAAGAATTTTTTAATATATTAACCTATTACATTTTTTAACATTTTTATTTCGTTTCATTAATTTAAAATTTTCGAAAACACATATGTTCCAGCTGTTTACTTCTTTTTCAGCAGAACTTCGAGTAAAGTTAGAGAACTGAGTTAGAGTTAGTTACAATTTCTGTATATTTTAAATTATAGAAATAACAGATAAATAAATTAAATGATATAATTACCCAAAATCAAAAAAAAAAATGCTAACGGTGCTTCAGTAGTTTTTATATCTAAACAAAAAATTTTGTAATAAGATGTCATTTTATAAGATTAAGTTACATTTTTATTTTTTTAACTTTTGCATTGTTATCCCAGAAAGAAATGATTGCAGAAAAGAAAAAATTTTGTTAACATAATTTTTACTTTAAGACTTTCTAAATTTCATTCAATCAATCGAATTTCGTTAGTATCTTTAAATATTAAAACTAGTTGATTAATAATTCAATTTTATTCAACATTCATTCTGCATGATATGGTATTAAGTACAATCTCTTTTCAATGAGAAATAAGAAGAGATTCCTAACATAATTTCTGAGGCTGTATGATGACACAAATGCAAACAGAATTTTCCATACATTATTTGCGACATTCTGGGTTGTAAAAGAGAATTATAAAGTAGATAAACAGATAAATTGCGATGAAGAGAGATTAGGAAGATTAATCAAGTTTGCAAAAATATAATGGGCCCACCAGTGGCCGAGCGGTAAAGTCGCTGAACACTGGTAGTTCGGTCCGAGGTTCGAATCCCGCGAACGGGCTGGCTGCATGGGCGCCTTCGTGGTTTTCCCCATGTGTAACGTGTATACGAGCCAGTTTCCCTTAGAAAGTCCTCCACGAAGGCATCCCTCCCCTTAGGCAGATAGCCCTCGTGTGCTTTGCCATAATTAAATACACCACACCACCACACCAAAAATATAATGTAGTTTGTAAAAGTGATCTATGTTTCATGTAACTATATGCCGTAGCAATATTTTTCTTAAACCTGTACTTACTTAAGTCTTTATTGCAAAACTGCATACATCTATAAGCATTTAATATATTTTAAAATTTCTTAATAAGCTTTCTCATGAGAATAAGAATTAGATTGTCACTTTTGAGATGTTCTGAATAGTTAAACTTCATAAATTACTGTACCCTATGTAACTTTGGATCTAAAATTATGACTTTTACCTGCACTCTATTAATATAATTTTTAAAGTTTTCACATCTTGAAATAATAAATGTTATTCTTTAGTTATGTAAGCAAATAATATACCAGATACAAATTTACGTGTTTACTAGTTAAAGAGAAAACATCCGAAGAATATAATTCTGAGTAACATAAAATAACCTGCTTCCATTCTTTTACTTTTCACATTATGAAATAAAAAAATAAAAGAAGATTTCTATTAAGTTATTTGGATTACCTCCTTGTTTTGCCTTCATAATTCAATGTTCATTTATTTGCTGTTCTAACACCCCCCCTTCTCTGACAGTAGCATAAGATTAAGTGCCCGAATTCCTCGTCTCTAATAGCCCAAAGCTTATCGTTGGTTAATAAATAGTACCTCGAGCAATTTATAGGTGATAGTATGAAATTGCCCAGCTCCGACGCAGGTTTGAAGAAGAATTCGCAGGTGACGGATCCAATGGTCTCACTTCCTTTCTCCTTCCAACAACTTCTCAAGAAGGCTTTCATCTCAATATTACTTTCAGTGCCTCCATGCTGTAAACACACTACATGCTTGCAAACATCTGTTCTTTCCAATAGATTCGATTCCAGGCCCAAGGGTTCTGCAGCTGGCTTCCTTACCGATGCCAACAAGAGGGAGTTTGCTTATTTGAATATAGCGAATTACATAAAAGTTGTCTGCATAATAAGAGGGGAGCTTCCGTGGACGACTTTCTGGGGGAATTGCTTA